CTTTTTCTTGAAAGTACCGAGAGACTACTTGCTGTGGTGCTTGCCAAAGCAAGCTTATAATTATAGCAGCACTTGATGGACTTTGTGGGTAGTTGGGATTTCAGTCACTCAGGCTGCATCTCAGGAGGCATCTGGTCTGGAATTGTTCTTCTGGGAACGTGCTTTTGGATGAACAGGAGTGACACTTCTCAGAGACATTTTGCACAAATAACTCTTGCTGCAAACCATTATTTTGGAGTGAATGCTAAACAGTAAAAATGTTGCTAAGCTAGTACTAGCTTCTGTTTTAATTTTATCCAGCATTTTTCTTCCTTTTTTAAAAGTGGGATGAAATGAAGCTGCAGTTGATGAAAGTAGTAGAGTCTCAATTCCCAAAACAGTTGCTGCTTGAGAAAAATTATTCAAATTATTTCTGTTAAAGAAACTCACTTTTTAAGCATCTTAAGTTTTGAAGTGCTGCATAAACCATGATTTTTGTCTTTAATAACCTCTGTGTGTCCATGGCTTCATTTTCTTGCAGTGCACATAATTTGGTTTGAGTAGTCTACTCAGTGGTGAGCAATCCTTCTGCCATTAAAATCCTTTTATAAGCAGCTCAGTATCGTTGCCTCATTTGTCCCATGCACAATTCATAGTGAGAGCTTAGCAGTTAAAAAAAAAAAAAAAAAGTGTATGTTCTTTTTAATATTGTCCTGTCTCATTATGTCTCGTGATTCTGACCGGTATTTCTCATCAGTTTTCAGATTAATGTTTCCTGCCTGTTGAAGTGCTCATGACCTCAATAGTCTTGTTAGCAATTCTGCTAGAGTCGCATGCTGTTTGCTTCTTTCTCTTAATAACTTTTTTCACTGCACTTCCAGTAGGCAGGTGCACATCTGATGCAGTAGCAGTTCCCTGCTGGTACACATTTTTGTTGCACAACACATCTGACAACAAAATAACTTCCATTGGATTTATTCCTTGCTTGGCTGTTGTCTTGGGCTTGTGGAAAGCTGTGAATGGATGCTGAAAGCATGCTTTGTGCAGCATTGATAATCTTAATAGACTGGTCATGCTGTACTGTATCTTTGACCCTTGCATGATTTTGCAGCTGGTTTTTTTTATGTTTTAAGTTAGTCAACATTTTTTGAAAGTTATTCTGTAGGGCTTTTTAGGCTAACTTCACAGTGTTTGCTTTTCGGATTCCTTGAATTAACTTCTAAACGCAGTGGAACAGTTGCAGAAAAGTTTATTACGCGGACCTTAACGTCAGCGCCAGGAATTATTCTGGTTTGTAAAATCGCAACTGTATTCAAGTTGCATTGCTTTGGGATTACATTTGTTCTATTTGTTGTGAAATAGAATTTACTCATTCCACAGACTGCAAGCTTTTTTCAGTGACACGAAGCATTTAAATGTCCTGAACAGGTGGATGGGTCTTCACCAGCTCCTCCTTAAGTTTCATTAAATGTCATTCCTAAGTTTACCTTGTATTTGAGGAACTGGTTCTTCTCATAGTTTTGAGTAAGATTCGATTTGAGTTTCTTATCTCTTCAGCTGTCCATTTTTTAAAGAAATTTGACACGGGCTAATGCTGGAAGTGAAGACTTCGAGTGACACTTAAATTGATCATTAAATGTCAATCATGTTTTTTCTTCAACTTCTGTAGAAGAAATTTGCCCTTCTTAGAAGTGCTGTAATATGGAAGAAGTTGAGTCATTAAGTCTTGTGTAATTTCAAGCACTGTAACTTAAAGTGCCATTACGAATACCTTAACTTTTTTCAGTTTTAAACCAAGTATTTTTAAGACTTTCACTTAAGTTCAGACTAGTCCATAATTATTAGATATCGGATGCCAAGGGCAGGAAAGGATGTCACTGCGTTAGGTGTAGCTAGGTCATAATATTGATTTTTTTCATATTTTTACAAGTCAGGTACATCATGTCATGCTGGTATTTATTCATCTTTACACATTTGAAATGATCTAAAAGTAAGTCATTGTAGAAAGTTAGGCATTTGCTTCCGCCCTCCCTAGTCCTGTCAGGAGACATTATGACGTTGAGAGTTGTTTAAAAGTAGCGTTTAAAAACACCACAAAAGCCTCATCTGACTTAAGGAAGCTTTTTTGGTTATTCTGTCTGTTTACCTGGAGTTCTTCCTTCTCTTTAATATATATGATTTCAGTAAAAGGTTCCTTTTCCTGGGATTTGTGCTCTTGAAAGGTTTATAGGTTTGTGTCCACTGGCTTTTTTCTCTCTAGAGGAAATGTACGTGTTCTTCATCCTGAAGAAGGATCAAAGTTCACTCATAAAACTGGTCTTCCCAGACTGACTGCACAATTGCTTTGGAATGAGAATATCAGCCTTACAAGCAGTGAAAATACAATTGCCAGATCAAATTGAAGTCGCTTGAAGGAGGTGGTTTGCTCATTAAAATGGTGAAAGAGGAGAGGCATCAGAAACCATGAATCTTTTTGCACGCAATCTTCTTTGGCTGGCGGTTCAGAAGACAGCTAGTTACAAAACTTGTGGTGATGGCAGGTGATTTGGTAAGAAGCTGGATGCCAGTAATTAAGCTGTTAAATCGTGTGTATTTTAGTTCCTTTCATAATTATTAGAAAAAATGCAAAATAGGGGGACTTAGGCTTCCTGAAAGCAACATTCTTAACAGCATTGGATCATATGAGAAGAAACAAATGGAAGCAACCAGTTTAAATTGTTTTGCATCGGATTCAAAAGTGAGAAGAGAGGATTTTCTTTTTATTCTTGGAAAGGATTCAAGTTGAACACAGGCATAGGGCTGGAAGCTTGTTTAGGCTTGATGTGAGAATCTCAAGAAGACAAAACAGTATCGCAAGTACAGTTTCTCCGATTTTCACAATTTGGAATAGAATTTTATTTTGATTGATGTAGAATTTAGGACTCGCCATTATCCTTGACTTGATTTTTTTAAAGTGGTTTAGCAAGAACAAGGTGAGAGAGAGTAAAACTTTGGTATTTGAAGAGCAATATCTGGGGACAAAGATGTGTTTAAGTAACATTGGACCAATTTTGAATTTAGCAGATTAAAGCAATGTTTTCAAAGACACTGTTGCTATGCTTGGAAAATATTTTTACCTGATACACCCGGATGTGTGCTTAGGCTGCCAAGAACACCTGAATTCTGATCATGTCCTTTTCTGAGGCTTTTAAATAGCTCATTTGAGGTTCCCCTTTTCCTGCTTCTGAGGTGTGGCTCTCCTATATCCACCCACGAGTGTAAAAGGAAGAAAGCACGGTATTCTTTGTATTTGCACTGAATTCAGTGCAACTGTCGGTAAATAAGATCTGTTATAGCTAAATGGGGATGATGTGGGCTAGAAGGGGCATATTAATGTAGGAAGTCACAAAAAGTGTACCAAACGTTTTACTGATTTTGAAGGCAGCTTAATAGAATCAGTCTGTTGTGCCATGGGAAGACTTATCCCACTTGTTGATTCAGACTGAAAATCTGAGATCAGATTCCTTGCCTTTTTTTTTTTCCCTTTTCATGTCTGAATATTTTAACGAATCTAATGTGACATCCAGGGCAGACTTCCCCAAACACTCAGCTTTTCCAAAGCTCATGAAGACTGTCTTGATAAAATCGCGTGCATGGGTGTGTATGAGCAAACTCGGAATCTTGCCGAATCTTGGTTTTCTGAGAACTGTCATTTGTTCTTTAGGAACAATGTCTTCAGGCTAGGATATGTTGAGCAGAAGGATTAAACTGAAAAACAAGCTTTTGGCATTAATCCAGGATTGATTTAACATAGTTGAGGAAGAATATTCTGGAGAAGGAACCGTAATGACGCAGTCCTTGGTTTTTTACATTTTAATAAGATAAGAGATGACATTCTTCTGCAGTCTCATTGCATCTTACTGCTGGGATTCAAAGGTGTTTTTAGGAGCAACTGTTGCTTTATCAGTGTTCATCATGGGGGAATGGTAAGGGTGGTGTGTGAGGTGGAGATGAATAAGCATCAACATTAAGTAATGAGTAAAAGTTCTTACAAAGCACCTTCAGGTAGCAGAGCATGAATGTGAAAATCTGATCTCACAAAGCTGTGACAGCCAACAGGTCAGACCTCACATAGATTTGTGACAAGAATTAGAAGAAACTGGAGTGACATAAACTGCACACCTCTGCCACTTAGCAGAAATGTCTAAGTGAGCGCCCAGAGACTGGTTTCTATGCAGTAACCGCTGCTGCGCCACTGAGGTGAAACCTGCCTTTTGCCGGCGGGTCAGCACA